CCCAACAGCATCAACCTGTGTACCAGAGACTCCTTCCTAAGTCGGTGGCATGTCGAGTGCAGAATATGGTAGAAGTTTTGCACCAGACAAAGGAAAGCCCTGTCGACTCGTCCGTGCTGGGGTGGATGGCCCATTATGAACATTTGGAGGTCGCCTTTCAACAACAACCAACTACCATTGCTCGCTACTAAGTTCCCTGAACGACATCCGAGCTGAGATGAGATTCATCCACGATTTGGTATTTCTGAGTCGATTCTATAATGAGGCTGACCGGATAGAGCAAATTAGGCTTGGTGGAGAGATGGTCCTCCAAAGATTGCTTGAGAAGGGGTATGCCTCATCTGAAGCCATGGAGGACCCATTTATTAAGCATTTTGTTCGAAACCTGTAATAATAATATTTGTAATAAAATAATATTTTGAGGAATTTGAAATGACAATTGATGTGAAGCCTATCTTTATGCGACTCTTTGGTGTGCTCGCCTATCTTATAAATAGGGTTAGGAGTCGCCTTATTCCGCCTTTGTACTTTGTTCTTCAAGTCTTCTGATTCATTTTCCTTCATTTTCTTTCGTTCTTTTCGTTTGACTGTGATGGCTCCAAAGTATTCTCTAGTTCCCTTTGGCACCGTGAGGGCGGCCGATCCCTCTTCTTTGACGGACCAGGACATGAAGAGTCTTCAAGAGCGCTACGTGTCGGATGCCACGATCACCCTCCGCAGGATGTCCGTCGCAAGGAACTCGACGGATGACGTGAGCCTTGATCTGGTGTTCTTTCTACTAGAATCAGTTTAAAAATGGTCTCTGGCTGCCCTTATGATCGGAGCTTATGAGCATGTTCACTACATAAGGGGTCATTCTGACCCAAGTTCTTCAGAACACCATCGCGACCATCATGACTTACGTCATATTTTTTCGTCGTTTAATCATCCCTTTGTCGATTGACACCTTCAGTCACTACTCCTCAAGTTCGACCAGGGATGTTGTCATGTTTTCACCTGGTTGAAGACTTCGCTAGCTCGGCGTTGGGAATAAGATCAAGGATTGACGTAAAAATTTCTTGATTGGTTCTATATCTGACGACTGTGAGATTGCCATTCGTCGGCGGAACGTGGCTGGCAGCAAGTCAAGGGCCTTACCGGCCAATCTGCAAGACGTCAAAGAGGTGTTGGAATGAAGTATGATATCGGTCTATCAGTATATCGCAGAAAGAACGTTGAACCGGGTGATGGAAGGATAACCCCGGGTGATTGGAGGGCTTCAGATGCCAATGAAGCCGCAAGAGTGAAAGCAGCGGAGCAAAAGCAGCCGCAGAAGTTGAAGGTCGGTCTCCCCCGTGAGCATTTATGACAGGTACCATTCTTGATGTTGCGTGTCCTAGTATCGAGCGATTTATAACTTTTGTTCTGAGACAAGAAGGGAAGGAGTCGGCAAGGGTGTTGACGTCCCGACCCTTCCCTCCCTGAAGAGAAAACGGGGGGACCCTAATTGGCGCTCGCTTGAAGGAGGCGAGGGATGTTTATGGATAAGTGATGACGAGCGATTCAGCTTGTTGGATGCCTAAAGGGACTGGCATCCCCTACGGCCGATACTCGGCGTATGCCGCCTCTCCTGGCGGAAAAGACTTGGTCTTAGGCTTTTCAGGAGGATCTCAAGGAACTTTCCTACGAGAGACTTCTCGAGTGTGTCGCTCATCGCATTTGGAGACGAGCGAGATTCTCACTTCTTAGGAATTGCTTTTATGGAAAATGCAAACTCTCTGAGGGTAGCAAGGAGATCCTGTCGAAGTCCCAAGAGCAAGTTGTCTACCTGACCAATGACCTTCACAGGGCTTCTGAAATTCGGGACTTTATCGAATTGATTCAACAGCAGCCTGAACGAAGGGAGGAGCAGCTTAAGAAGGTGGTCTCTAAGCTCAGGGGGGCAATTGGAGTCACTTGTCCCCCGCGAGGAGTTAGCGAGCCAACTTAGGCTGGGGATCGAGCATGCTACCCGGTGGTTCGTTCATCACGGTTTTGTCGACCCGATGTTCCTCGACCCGATGTTCCTCGACCCATCCGAGTTCAATGCTTTGATCCCTTATCGTCCTGTTGATCCCTCGGAAGAGAATGATGGCTTGAGTAGCAGGAGTGAATTTTCTAGTGATCAAAGCAATGATCAATCAGCTACTCGGTAGCACTTCCGCCCTGCGATGATCTTTTTTTCCTTTTCCTTTTTTTTTCTTTTTTGCCTGAAAATTTGTCAGTGGCCTGTAATTCATTACATATTAATGAAATGGAACCCTTTTGCTTTTTCACGATTACTTTCATCACTTTGGCTTTGTTGCGAAAGTTATTGTTTTACCTGTGACACTGGCTTTTAGAGAGACTTGCTCTCAGGCTGGCTCGTGGAATCAAAAAAATTGATTTGACTATAGTGTCTCGGTCGGTTAACTCTTGTTTCTTCCGTTCGCTTAAGTCGATTTGTCCTTGAGTGGATACTGATCTTGATCGATTCTTTTTTACGACACTGATCTTGTTGTTACCTGAGAGGGTGCGGTGCTGACAAGGGTTTTCAGGATGACTTTCGCTACCTTTTTTGCAGATCCTATCGCCGGCGATGATAGAGTCATCCCTGGGTAATCTACTTGACTGACTCCACGTCGACTCGCAGCCAGAAGGCATTGAAATTTTTCGATTTATTACACAACAGTCAATCCATTTCCCTAAGCTTTTCAGCACAGATGAATTCCTCAATAAGGTTCCGTCGGTGGCAGCTCTCCTCTTTGTCATGTCTATGGTCACAGTGATACTGGCAATGCCTTTTCGGATCTCGCGATGTCGGTCGCTCCTTTAGCAGTGGGGCCAGTTTGAAGTTGTCCTTGTTTTGGCCTAGATTATTTCGGCCATCGACACGTTGAGGGGTGTCAAACTTTGCATCTCCATGTAAACATACAATTGTTCATAATATTAAGCTGACCGTTGATCGGAACGCTACTTGTCATGGTTGCGTTGCTAAGAATCATCTAAACACCTGCCAAACATGTTGTTGTCCTGGTGTCAGGTGAACTGATTGTCCTTCGCCCTTTGTTATTCACCCCGTTCTTTCCACTTCTTTGACGAATGGTTAGACAATTCTGGCTTACCCTTCGGGGAGCATTAGAGGTCTTCTTCGGCAAGTATGTGCTCATTCGCCATCTCCAATATTTCCGCAAAAACCGTTGGTTTAAATAGATTTAGGTCATACTTGAATCGTTTGCTTTGAACTCCTCGCTTCAAGAATGTTACGGCTATTTCCGGCTTCAGATTTCTAACTTCCAGCATCTCGTCCTGGAAGTCGGTGATGTAGGACCGTAGGATCTCGTTTTCTCCCTGCTTAAGGTCGAGAAGGGTGTTTGAATCTTTCTTCGGCTTCTGCACGTTTGAGAAGTGTGAAACGAAGAGTCTCTTAAACTCATAGTAACTTGGGATGGTTTCGGTTGGCAAACCGTTGAACTGCCGAAGGGCCGACTATTTCAGGGTGATTTGGAAGAGACGAACATTATTAGGTCGTCAATCTGGAGCAGACCAACGGATGATTCGAACAATGCAAAGTAGTTGATTGAGTCGGTTCTTCCTTCATAAGAATCTAAGCGAGGAATCCTCAGCTTGGGCGGAGATATCGCCTATTTGATTTGGTCGAACGTGCACTTGCATTCGTTCTTCCCATCACCTGTTCGCTTGCGTTCGGCTGTGTTGATGTGTTTGGACTCGCCTTGCCCCTCTATCTACTGGTTGCTAACCTGGTTATGCGAGATAGGTGGGTTCCTTGGTGAGGAACTTTGGGGACGAACCCCCTGGATTCCACTTCCAAGCGAGGGGTCTGATCGTTCCTCTTGGTGATTGCTACCCGGAGGACCTCGAATTGCTCCATCTTGAGAATCGTCTGGGCTTACAGCCCCTAGACTTGTGCATGAACGTCTGTTGTGCAGCATCTCTATTGAGTTTCATGCATGATATCTCTCTTTAGAAACTCTCCTTTGTAATTGGTTCCGCTTCTCATCTGGGGCATGTCCACACTCACCGCACAACCTTCAAGATGTTAGATCCTGAATTATCTTTTGTGAACACACATCGAGAGTTAGGAGTCGAGTGAATTAGATAACAAATTGAATCAAGGGTTACTGTAGAGGGAATCGAAAAAGTCCCAATGGTTTGTCTCCCTTTGGTCGTCCTTTTGTCTCTTATTTATAAGTATGTATTTGGTACAATTACAAAAATGTGGGAACAATTATGAAAACCGTTCTTAATATAATTAATAAATTGTATGGATTTCGTTCAATATCTGAATTACAATTTGAATTTTGATATGACAGTAATTTGTTGGTCGATTTGTAGAATATGGTCGAGTGCGATGATCAACTGGGTGGCGACCATGCATTGTGTTTGGTCGAACTACGATCCGTTCGTCGTAGCAAGAGCAAGTCGGTCGTCCAATCGTGATCAAGAGGTTTCTGCCTATGCTTTTGTCGGTCGGTCGACTGATGAGTCGATTTATTTTTGTCGTGTGAACCATGACTCACTTGTTGCATTGGCTCAAGTTTTACGGGGTCTACGTCTCCTCTACCTAGTTGATTCTTCGCCTCAGTTAAATATCCCTATTTGCAAGGTCTTAGGCAGATCTTGTCACTGCTTGTATGAGGTATTCGATGATACTTGTTGCTATATGTTTTATGCCTCGCCCTTGGCGGATCTTGTCGTCATCGGGCGAGAGACCATCTCCGGAGCTTTGACCTGTCCCGAGTTTAGAGATGCAACTTCACCTGCTTGGTAATGACTTTTCGGCCGATTGTTTACCTTGGGGGAAGCTTTTCGTTTTTTATCATTCGTTCTCTTTGAAATTTGTGCAGGTAATTCTAGTGTATACGCTAAACAAGCAAAAAGGTTTTAGGATTCCGGCTCCATCGTCTGAAGATACAATAGGAGAAGCATTGCTGAATTGCTTCATAAAGATTTGTTTATAAAGAGAATTTATTTTTACTCACAGATATGGCAGGAGGAACACCCACAAGCGGATCCTGGAAAAATCTGTTCGCCAGTGCAAGGGCTAGAAGACTGCTTTGCATTCCTGAATTATGGCCGGATCAGATCAGATATAAAATTCGTGATCCTCAATCTAAAAGAATTATATTTGAAGTAGATGAAGACCTGTCTGATACGAAATTGTTCTTTGCAGTGCTTTTACATCATCAACCTTGCGAAATACCAATCCAGAAAGACCATATCCAGCTATAAAAGCTGATGCATGAAATCCAAAAATTAGAAGCAAAACTGCTACTCCAAAAGGAGAGATCACCGCATCGATGTTTATTGCTAAAGGAGAACCAACACAAAGGGCTGTTACTAAAACGGAAAGAGGCGGGAGAAAGGGTTGAACAGCTGCACAAATACTCGGAAGAAACCTGCAGACAAGCAAGCCAGAGAACATTTAGATTCATTTTGGTTGATCAGTAAACCTCCAAAACAAAGGCTAGCAATCAAAAAGATAATAAAGGACTAAATCATCCAAAAAAGTCCATCGATTTTTTAGCTATGATCATTTTAGTCATAAGCTTTTATCAGTGTTCAATTTAGTCCATCAACTCATCAAATTTAAACTAATTTGGTTGTAGCATCAATCTTATCGAAAAACATTGATGATGGAATAGTTAAAAATGATCTCTAAGAAAGCTTCCACCATTAGCCAAGAAAAATCGCATAGTTGAAGAATAAAATATTGTTCTAGATTTGCGGAAAATTGAATAACTGAAAAAAGTTTCCAGTTAAAACGACACAATTATAAGTATAAAGGTTATTCTGATCACTTAATGAAAAATTTTGAAATGTTTACTTCCATTAAAAATCAGAAAAAAAAAATGTTTCTACAGTGCCACTTTAACTAAGAAAGTTGGAACTGAGACTAGAAACAGTCAAGCAAATCAAATTGTGAAGCAAGAAAAATAAAACAATAAGTTGTAAATATTGAAAAGAAAACTAGATAAAAGATGCAGCAGACATGTAAATAATTTTCCAGAACAAACACAGATAAAACATATAAAAGTATGACGCCAATACAGACCAAAGTATTAGAATTATTATATGTTTTTAGCTTTTATTCCGTCATTATTTCTTTCCTATTTATTTTATTTTGTTTTATTTCTTTTCAATTTGTTTTATTCTATTTTTATTTTTTTTATTGCATCCATTGTAATTGGATTTAAATACCCCTCATTTTATCAATAATATTATGTTGTTCTCGTCACAAATTCAATATGGTATTAAAGTCATGGCTCTAACCCATGAGGTTCCATCCTAGACGCCAGCCACCTGCAGGTCTTCTCCTATAGAATTTTTACCTGCAACCACCTGTTGCTGAACCTTCCAACCGCTGATCCCAACATCCCTCCCAGCCACTGATCTGCAGAAGATGTGCCACAGTTCATCTTCCAGTCATTAAACCTCCCAACAGCTTTTCTAGCCAACCTTCCTACAGACCTTCATGCGAACCGCAAGTGCCATCTGTTCCAGCCGCTGGTTCCAACAAACAGCCAGCCTTTCATTGCCAGCAGTCTTTTGTCATAACCCTACCATAATTCATTGATAGATCAAAATCTCAAAAACATCTCCTTTGACTCGGTCAGAATTATGACAGATTCCTCCAACCCTGAACCATTTTCAGAAGATGATCTTGATTCCGCCAGAGAATTAACTTTAATTTCTGCTCCCATGCAAACTGGAGGATCGGAAACCAACATAATTTTTTTAACCACAACCCATAAACTGAGCGATTGTAACTTTCTTCAACGGTCCCAAGCGGTGTCATTATTCATCGAAGGACGTGGGAAGTTTGGTTACCTCGCAGTTATGGCTCGTGAGCCTCCATAGACCGACCCGGCATATAAAGCTTGGGAAGTGGAGAATTCCATGGTCATGTCATTGCTGATCAACTCCATAGAGACTTTGATCGGTCATTCATATATGTTCCTTCCTACAACTAGCGTTCTCTAGACAGTTGTCCGTGATATCTACTCGGATATAGAAAATGTCGGCCAACTCTATGAGGTATCTAAGAAAATCCAGGAGGCAAAACAAGGCGAGGACCATGACCAAATACTATAATGACCTTGTTGCACTATGGATTGAATGCGACCTGTACTACTACACTTGAGATTCTCGGGCCAAACCATCCCTCTTCCAAAATATTGTAGAAAGAATTTCATGTTCCAATTCCTGACCAATCTTAACAAAGTCTTGATGAAGTTCGAGGTCGTACCCTTCGTTGGGATTATCTTCCTTCCGCTCGTGCACCATTCACCAAGATTTGTCAGGAAGAAAGCTAGAGATTTGTCATGTTTGGCACTTCTACTCCTTCAGTTGAATTGTCTGCCTTGATCTCAAAAAGTGTCAAGTCCTCATCCATGTTATCTTGGACCAGTCACCCCACTTGCAATTACTGTCACAAAACCTAACCACACTCTGGACAAGTGTTAGAAACTTTAGGGTAAACAGGCATACATTTGGCCAAATCCTCGGCTACCAAAGGTCTCACGGCGACGTCCGAGCCTAACATGACTCAACCGACTCCTACACGAAATATTTTGGAGTCCTCTGAATTCCTGAAAAACCAGATGAAGCAATTAATCAAACTTCTTGGAGCCACTCAAGTCTCTCTGGATCCATCGACCTCCCACTTCTGACAAGGTATATTCTTATGTATCTCACGGTTTGTTCCTCTAGTCCGTAGATTATTGATTCGGATGTTACGAATCACATGACTTGATGTTCACAAGCTTTCTCGACTTACTATCTGTGCACTGGGAAAGATACAGTCATAATTGTTGATGACACCTCTAGTTACATTGCTGGTAAAGGGTTGATTGCACTAATGCCAGTATAAATCTAGAGTCTTTTTTACATGTTTTCCCATTACAATATAATTTGTTATTTGTCAACAAATTGACAAATGATATCAATTGTGTTGTTAATTGCTCTTCTGATGGTTTTATTTTTCAAAATCGTCGTTCGGGAAGGATGATCAGAATTGCTAAGAGGGTAGCTGAACTCTACTACTTCCAAGTGGAGAGCACAGAGAGTGACACGTCTGTCATAAGTTGTAACTTATCTCGAGTCATTAAGTGTCCCGTTATGTTGTTGCATTGTCGTTCAAGTCATCCTAATTTTCAATATTTAAAAAATTTATATCATTTAATGTTTTCTAATAAGAATATTTCTAACTTCAATTGTGAGACATGTCATTTAGCCAAGGATCATCGGGTCCATCATCCACTTCACACTTACACACCCTCCGCTTATTTCTCCCTCATTCACATATGGGGACCTCCTCGCACTTCCAACTACACCAACAAACGTTAATTTCTGACATTGATTGATGACCACACTCGAATAACATGGTTCTACATTTTAAAAGACAAATCAGAAGTTGTTGTCACCTTCCAAAATTTTTACACTTTTGTTTTAACTCAATTCAAAATTTTTATTCAGGTCCTTTGGACCGACAATGGTCGTGAGTTTTTAAATCTATTTTGGGTGAATTCTTGGTAACTAAGAACATCCTCCACCATAACTCGTGTACGAACACTCCTCAAAAAATGGGGTAGCCGAGAGGAAAAACTGTCACCTCCTCGACGTTGTTTACTCAATTATGTTTCAATTCAATGTCCCGAAACGATTTTGGAACGATGTCATTCTTACTGTCACCCATCTCATAAATAGAGTCTCTTCTAAAATACACAAGTTTCGAACCCCCTTAGCCGTCCTGATGTCATACTTCCCTACCAATCGAGTTTTCTCCATATTAGAACCCAAAATTTTTAGGTGCACAACCTTTGTTCAAAACACTACTCTCACTCGAAATAAATTTGATCCAAGATTTATAAAATTATCTTCATTGGGTACTCTGCAACTCAAAAGGGGTATCGATGTCTTGATCCTAGCACCGACAAAATCTATGTGAGTGCTAATGTCTCATTCTTTGAAAGTGTTCCCTATTTTTCTAGTTCGGCCTCAAGTGAGGGAAGCTTGAGTTCTCTGACACTATCCCTTATCCTACTCCTATGGATGTCTCCCACATTGTTCCTACCACTGAGGAGTCCCATGTTTCGTTGAGTACACAGTCTCCTCCACCCACTATCTGTGTCTACACTCAACGCACAAATCATGCTCTTACTCTGGAGTCAACTACCTCCTTACAGAATCTTAACTCCACTCTGGGCGACAACCTCATCACGAACCCTCCGAATGGGGAGGTGAGTTCTCCAAGTACGGTATGCAATCAGACATGCTCCCTCTATTCTATGACAAAATATGTCTTTTTCCACAGTTTGTCGACCTACATAACATTTGCTAACGCCCTAACAGACCATCAGATTATTCTTACAATTAAGATTTCTCTTGTTGATCCAACTTGGAAAACGACAGTAATGGAGGTGATGAATGCCCTTCAGCAGAACCACAAATGCAACATCGTGGATCTTCCTTGGGGTAAGAAATTCATAGGGTGTTGATAGATTTTTAGCACCAAGTTCAACTCTAATGGATCCTTTGAATGCAACAAGACATGATTGGTCGTAAAAGGGTACTCATAGACCTATGGAGTTGACTATGAGGAGACATTTACTCCAGTGACTAAGTTAAACACTATTCGGGTCCTATTGCTCACTTACAGTGAATCTGGATTTGTCTTTCTTCCAGCTAGATGCCAAGAATGCATTCTTAAATGGAGAGCTTACAAAAGAGGTATACATGTCTCTCCTTCCTGGCTTTGACTCTACTGCCTCTAGAGGGCAAGTATGCAGGCTACAAAAGTGGGCAAAAGCAATCTCCAATAACCTAGTTTGGCAAGCTCACAAAGGTGGTCATGGGTTATGGTTTTACTCAGGCTCAATCAGATCACATCCTCTTCTTTCGGTATTCCCCCAATAACCAGGTAGTTATCCTTATTATTTATATTGATATTATTCTTACAGGTAACGATCTCCCAACATTGAAAACCTTGAAAGACGTTCTTGCTAAGTCCATTGAAATGAACTTAGGTTCTCTCCGGTACTTCCTAAGTATGGAAGTGACTCGGCCATCTCGGGACATTTGCATATCTCAACGCAAATATATGATTGATATTTTGACAGAGAACAATCTTATTCTATTCAAACTTATTGTTCCTATAGATCCCAATGAAAAATTATCTGACAATCCCAAAGTTGTGAGCGTCAACAAGATTCATTACCGGCGCCTTGTCGTAAAACTCATTTACCTCGCTCATATTGGCCCCCAACATATGCCACGCAATTGGTATAATCATGACCACTATAAGCACCTTCTCCAAGATGTCCACCAGATTCTCCGCTATTTAAAAGGTATACAGAGCTCAGATTTGTTTTTCTCCGATCACACCTCTCGGTCTATTATTGTTTATACAGATTGATTGGGTCGAATCGGTTCATGATCGACGTTTCACCTCAGGTATTATTCATTTGTATGGGGCAATGTTGTCACGTGGAAAAGCAAAAAAAAAGTTTGTGATTGCCCAGAGCAGTGCTGAAGCTGAATTTCGGTTTATGTCATTGGGAATCTGTGAAGCTCTAGTTATGCATCATGCTTCGCGAACTCCGTATGTCAACCTCCATCACGTTGCAACTATTATGTGATAATAAGACCGCAATTAGCATTGCTTATAATCCAATCCAGCATGATCGTACTAAGCATGTGGCGATTGACAGAAACTCCATTAAGGAAAAGATTGGGTCCAGGAAATTTGTGTTCTTTTTATGCCCTCCAGTGGTCAACTAGCGGACAACATCAGCAAGAATCTTTCTTTCTCTTTGTTCGATGACTTCAAATCCAAGTTGAACATGACTGACATGTATGTTTCGACTTGAGAGGGAGTATTAGAATTATTACATGTTATTAGTTATTCCTCATTATTTTTTACCTATTTATTTTATTTTGTTTTATTTCTTTCCTATTTATTTTATTCTATTTTTATCTCTTTCCTTTATTGTATCCATTGTAATTGGGTTTAAATACCCCTCATTCTATCCTATATAGTTAAATCAACTAGAGTGCTCGCATGTAGTAAGACCGAAAATGCAAACACGAATGCAATGAGATTTGATGAATTATAGCCTCCAAGCGATGCTAAAGAACCTTATTTAGGACATGGTTACCTGTTCAAAAGCAATCCCGCTGCAATTGGTGCAACAACAATCTGCATAATACTGGACATCATTCCAATTACATCAACAGGTAATTTTTTCCCAATGAGCAGCAATGATAAAGTAGGGGTAACAAACACAGCTGTGGCTGTTGACAGAGATGTCATAACAATGCTTAGAGGGGCCATAGGTGGATCTGTCAGAAAAGTTGCATAATTTGATAACTGTGCTCCACTAACACATGAAACAAGCATGATCCCCGCACCTAATCATGAATTCTATCGAGATTAGCATATTAGATTTGCTTTATCAAAAAAAAATCCTAAAAATTTACCTCACCTAAAGAATTAGGAAGATTCAAAATTGAAACTGCAATAGAGCCAAAGATGTAACCAAGGATAGGCTTTATGATGAATTGTCCGGCATATCCGGCAGCGATAACTTCTGGTCTTCTAATAGCTTCTAGAAAATCCTTGGGACTCAAGTTAACACCAACAGCAAACATCAAAAAACCCAGTGCTGGCGCATAAAACCTGGAAAAAGCTTGATTATTCATGTAGAATAACAAGAGCATTAAAAAAGTGGCAAATAATAATACATTACAAGGGTAAAAACATTTCTCTAAGAAAACAAATATGATTTTATGATCTAAATAAGAGCTACAATAGTCCTGTCTACCTAAACCTTCAATTGAACGCATGGATGGTTTGAATATGCTACAATATACCTTAGTCGGAAACAATTGCATATCTTTCTATTTCAAGCTAAACTTGTAAGTAGCAAAACTTATAAGCTGATTCACACTACTCCAATGGTTCCCATTCACAAAGGATATGGGATAACTTTCCCAAAAATGTTAAGCTTTCCAACGAGCATTTTTCCTTCAATCATAAAACAAAATCTATGTCAATATATATTGTTACAATCCTAATAGTAAAAGGACGAAGAAAAACAAATAAATAAGAAATATATAGCTTGCCTATAACTCCATAAATAGATTAGAAAAGAAGGGCAAAGAGTCGCCACAACTTTTAACATTGCAGGTAGAAGAAAACCATAGCTCAATTAATTCATTTTTCACACCCTAATTCTCACTCATTTTTCACAAAGGCTCCTAAAAATGCATTTAAGCACCTAATAAAAACAATATAAGTTTAACTATCTATGAACTACCCAAACCCACAATACCCATTCACTCAATCGTAAATACTCATCACAATTATCATCCGGGCCCGTTTGGGGCAGCTTATGAGTGCGGTACACCGCCTCACCATTTGAAAAATACGTTTCGACGGCTTATCCAAAAACGCGGTTGGATTTTTACACTAAAACGCAGGCCGCAGGTTGAACCTGCGAGCTGCGTTTCAGGATAAGTTGATTATCTGGATAAGCACAAGCTGCCCCAAACACACCCTAAAGCTCAACCTTGCTTCAAGGTCAAGCAGTCACTGGAAGAATTGTGGATGTGATCAGAGATCTAGCATAACATTATCATTGAATTCTAACACTGAAACTAGGGAGGTGTCGGCGCTTGATCTGGTGGCTTAGGCAAAGGGTTGGGGAACGATAAATCTAGTAAAAATGAGAGAGAGAGAGAGAGAGAGCACATAAGTCGTAATGAAAAATCTACCGGCAAGAGATGAGACGACGAGAAGTGGAGTTGTATATGTCGATGTAGGTTACAAGGTAGAATATAGTTGAAGGATTGATGAGATTGAGCCCAAAGACAACGAATCAGATGATTGGAAAGTGATTGAATCATATATAATGATTGCAACTTTCAGCTAAGGCATCAAATTGGCTACGATCAGTAATTTCTTGGATGATCAAGCGAAATGTTTTGATGTGGACAAAGGCAATCATCCAGGCAGTGTCAAGGCTCAACGAGAACACCACTGTTGCGATCCTAGTAGCAAAACAACAAAGATAAATAAATAATAAGTCATATTTGAATCTGCCTAAAACACCAAAAATAGGATAGAAAAGAAGAAATTTTTTAGGGTTACAAGGACGCCAAAAATCATTGGAGGAAGGATAGAGGAGACACATGCTCAACTTATACATTTTTCATATCCAAATTCTCCTTAAAGCGAGTATTTATAGAACACAAAGAATCCTAACGACTCTATGTAAAGACCAAATAACAACTTAATAATGATAGCTGCATATGAACTACCAAGACCCGCGATGACCCATTTACTCAATCCTAACTACCCTTACAATTATTACCTTGACATACATTCAAAAATGATTGTTCAAGAACCCTTGACAAAGCATGTCATGATTTTTTATCTTCAAAATTTTATATCTCACTACAACGAATCTATAAATGCCCAATCAAATGAAGTATTTTTTGCCATTGGATAATCAAACAAAATATAAGTATCTCAGCAAGACCTTATGATGCTGGAGTTAACACAAACCACAATAGAAAAAACAAATATTTTCATTGAAATTCAAATAGGCAGTTATAAACAACCAACCAAAATGGGAAATAACAAAGACACATGAAAACACCAAACTAAGGAGGGCTATAAATCAAAGGTGGTAGAAAGGCGACAACAAGGTGTTCGGGGTGGATGGCGTGTGAAAATGGCAATGAGGAAGGTTGTAGGCTGGCAACAATAAGGGAAAGGGGGAGTTGGCGGCCGAGCAACGACAGGTAGGGCAAGGTGGGTTGGCGGCAGAGGAAACAACAGTAAGGAGGGCTGGAGTTGACGACAAGGCAACAACAGATACTGGGATGGTGGAGTTAACGGTATGGGGGGCGGTGACAAGAAAGCAACAAGGAACAACAGATAAACACCATGTATGAGCGATTTACAGCGGAGCACCTTCTCTCCTTTGGATACAGCCTTAGGAGGAAAAACCTGGACATCGACGAACGTCCTAATAGAATACTAAATCATAACTGACCTAAAACATAAAAAACAACATATAAATACCACTAGGATAGCTAAAGGTGGGCCCTCTCAGTTAGGTGTCAATTCCTCATCAAGGAAGGATTGTGCGGCTCCTTAACTCCCTTAGCATGAACCGGTTCACGTAACCAATTCAACAACTTACATAGTTGCTATTGAAGCGGCGGCAAAAACACTAACAAGCTCTACTGAAGTAAGTAACGATAGATAAACACTACGTATGGACCATTTACAGCGGAGCACCTTTTCTCCTTCGGATACAACCCTAAGAGAGTAAACTTAGATTTTGAAGTCTTTATTGACAGCAATCTGAATCAAAACTGACCTAAAATATAGAAAATAACATATAGATACTACTAGGGTAGCTAAGTATGGGCCCTCTCAGTCAGTGGAAATTCCCCATCAAGGAAGGTTCGTACAGCTCCTCTCCTCCCTTCGCATGAACCACTTCACTTAACTAGTTCGACAACTTGTGTCTGTTGTGTCCCACATAGTATGGAGTCAAGTCTGTCGGGTTAAAGGTAACATAGATGTGGTAATCCCCCGGTAAGTTAATCTTGTAGGTATTTTCATTTAGCTTTTTGAGAATTTGAAAAGATTCATCTGCTCTGGGTCTGAGTTTCCCAAACTATACCATAGGAAATCTCTCTTTCTTCAACCCGATCCACATTAGATCTTCTTCCTTCAACTTGATCCACACTAGATCTTCTTCCTGAAATGTCACATTCTTCTTTAGTTTATTAGCTTGTGTCCGGCACTTATGGTTCTAGTTGGTGATCTATTTTCTCACCTCCTCATGTATCATCTAAATCTCCTATACCATTGCCTTAGCATCCGCTTTAACCTCCTAAGTAGGTAAAACCGGTACTGACTCAAGCAGAGCGAGCAGATTGTGTCAATACACAACCTGTAAAGGTGTGATTCTTGTAGTCTGGCTCATGAACCTGTTTTAAACAAATTTGGCCTAGGTTAGGAGCAGGTCCCATTGCTTGATGTCATTTCCTATGAAAGAACCTCAGAAGAGTTCCTAGACTCCTGTTCACCATGTCCATCTGTAGATGTGTTGCTGAGCTGAATTGAAGTTTAGCACTAAGCTTTCCCCACAGGGTTCTCCAAAAGTGACTTGGGAATTTGACGTCTCTATAAGATGTAATGGTTTTGGGTATCCCATGCAGCCTCATGATCTCCGTGAAATATAAGTCAGCAACAATGGATGCATCAAGTATATGGTGACAAGGTAAGAAATGAGCCATCTTAGAGAACCTATCAACCACGATCATCACTGAATCCTTGTTTAGTTGTGTCCTTGAGAGACCCATCACAAATTCATGCTAACATCCACCCAAGGAAACTTGGGTACTAGTAATAGTGTGTAAAGACCTGTATTTTGCCCTCTGGTTTTGGTCAAGTGACAAACTCTACACTATCTGACGCATCACTCATCATTCAGAGCCAAAAAAAAAAAGTTCATTAATGCGAGGGTATTGTCTCTGACGGAATGTCCTGCTAATCCTCTGATGTTACTTTCCTAAATGATGAACTCCCTCAACGAACATCTGGAAATACACAGTTGGTTCTGGTGGAACAACCATCCACTCTGTGGTATTGTCCTGTGGATCTCTCCTAACACTGCCCCCAGGTTTCCCTAAAAGTCTCATCAGTCTCATACAGATACTTCACTGCTTCAAATCTTACAATTCCGGCATGCATGGATGTGACCAATAGATGGTTGCGACTCAAAGCATTTGCTACCAGAATCTGACTTCTCGCCTTAAGGTTAAACATGGAATGGAATGATGCCATGAACTCAACCTAGGACGCATGATTGCCCCTCAACTTACTATAACTGTTCAAGAACCTCAAAACCTGATGACTCGTGAACAGAGTGAACTCGCTCGTCAACAAGTAGTAACTTTAGCGGTGGAGGATCCTAACAATGGCATAGAGTTCCTTGTCGTGTGTCAAATGATTTTGCAGGACTCATTCAACTTCTCACTAAAGAATGTTATAAGGCGTCCTTCCTAGCTCAATACTGCTATGATACCCATGTTAGAACCATCGTACTCCACCTCAAACAATTGAATCAAGTCTGGTAAAGCTGAAACAGGGGCCTGAATCACCTTCTACTTCATTGTTCCAAAACTGCGCTGTCATGAAGTGGCCCTTCTTCGGGTGGTCATATAATTTTTCTAACGATAGAACCTCAAAAACCCGCTTCATATGTTGCAAGTGCTCTTCCTCCAAACTACTGTAGGCAAGGATGTTGTGCAAGTAAACAACCACGAACTTCTCGGTTTAAACCTAGAACACCTGACTTATTGGTCTCATGAATGTGTTAAGTGCATTGGGCAATACAAATAGCATGACAGTCCACTCGTACAACCCACCTCTGGTCTTAAAAGCGGTCTTTCATTCATCCCCAGCCTCATTCTGATATGATTATATCTGTACTGTAGTTCAATCTTGGAAAGGACTACGACTCCATGTAACTAATCCAGTAGGTCGTCAAGGTGAGGGATAGGGAACAAGTATTTGATGGTGATCATGTTGATTGCTCGACTATCGATGAACATTCCCCATGAGTCATCCTTCTTAGGTACCAACACCGTGGGAACCGTGCATGAGTTGGTGCTCTCTCACCAATCTCTTAGTAATGAGATCCTGTACTTGTCATTGTAACTCCTCGTACTCTACTGACCTCAGCTTGTATGTGGGCATGTTTGGCAATACTGATCCCAGGATAATACCCATGGCATGTTGGATATCCCTCAGATATGGTAACTCTCGGGTAGGTTGTCGAACATCACCTCCTGAAACTCAGTTAACAATGGTTGGACCATCTCCGGTAGATACATTTCCTCCTTAATCCCCTCTAAAACGACTAAGGTCAATGCCACTGGGGCTTCTCGAACTGACAGCAGAAAAGTGGCATGTGGGACCTCGGGCTTATCCTCGACAGGCGTAGTTGCAACTCCAAAATCCTTGATGGGTAAGGGAACGATGAGTTTCCCCTCCTTCGTTAGTGCGTAATTGTTCTTGAATTCGTCATGTTGCGTCTTGTGATTGAATTGTCATGGCCTCTCCAACAAGATGTAACAAGCGTCTATGGGCACCATGTCACACTACACCTACTCTTGTAGTTCATCTTCAATAGAAAAATCAATCAGACATTGTTGATACAGTCGTATCTTGTTTCCTTTCTTCAACCATATCAGAGAATAGGGTTGAGAGAGTTTTTGAGTAGCCAGATCCAACTTCTCGGCCTCTCATACTAATTTTGATGAGTCTGGATCGATCCTCTTTTTCATTGAGGTCATCCCTGCGAAAGGGATTCGGTTGTTCTTCTGTTGTCCTCCATGGATCACACTATTAAGGTTAATGGTAACCTCGCCCATGGCCCTTTCCTCGATGAACTTGAGCCGTTGTAGCACTTAACAAAGTAGTCGTTGTATGTCACCCATGGTAAAGCCTAATCAGGTTTTAACAAGTCTTTTCGGCGGCATGGTTAAGGTTTCGGGATGGACAAGTGAAAGAAGATGTTTAGGAGTGATGTAAAGTGGGAAAGAAAAAAATTAGGTTGAGATTGGGTCGGGTATGGGCGGATACTAGAAATCCTATGATAGGACTAGAATCAGGCTAGTTCTGATACAAATTGATACAGGAGATAACCCAAACCACAATAGTAATGACAAAATTTATGATTTCTTCTTCTAGCTTTTAACTTGCAGTTGCATTCTTTTGCAGAAATTTTTCATCAAATGCCTTCCCAATGTTAACACCTGCTGGCTCTTGTTTTGTAATTTAAATTTGGCACTGCTTCGATGATTGTTTTATTTTGAGACATGATCATGCCATCAACCTTTAAAATAAAAGATGAAGAGAATTTATAAGTCTCGCATTATTGGACGTCTTCACTAATGAAAATATCTCTCAAGTCATTTATCTTTAAGTTGTTTAATCCATAAACGCTATCAATGGTTTAGTTGTTACAAAATTCTAATTTTTATATGGCAAAAAAACAAATTTAAGGCATAAATTTCATCATCGATGTTGATGGCCACAAAGCTCAATCGACTTGCAATTAAGGATGCATTTGGGACAGCTTATGCGTTTCAGGATAAGTTGTCTATCCTGAAACGCAGCCCGCGGGCGGGCCGCAGGGTTCGACCCGCGGCCAAAAACCCAAATGCGGTTTCGGATAAGCTGGAGAAACGCGGGAAACAAACGGTACGGCGGCGTTTTAAAAACGCCGCCCACACTTATAAGCTGCCCCAAACGGGCCCTAAGTTGAATTTATTTGATTTGCATAGTAGCATAGACTATTGAAAACATTTTGAGAATAAAAACTTGTGCATAAGATGTAATTGACAACTAAGACTTTCATATAAGCCTAATAATGCATTTATCATGTTCTTTTAATCGAGAATTCTAAAGGCAATGTTCATGATTAAGGGCAGCATACAACCAATACATGATATTTTCTTGTCCATCAACTACCACCCTCTTTACCAATAGCAAACGGTTTTTAGCCCTTCAAAGATTGATGAAGTGTTCATTGATAAAGATAATCATTTAGTTGCATATTCTAATAGACAAAGTCTTGATCATCAAATTTGTCGATTTTGACCTGTTCATTTTTCATTGCTCGAAAATATGTGCAACTTAACCAAAGTTATTGTAAAATCCTGAACTCTCATCTATCAAGATATTATCTGTTTTGGTCTAATAGCCTCATTGTTTTGTCTCATTGGTTTAACTTCCTAAGAGATCACCCATCCTAGGAGTGCTCTCTCACAACAACGCTTAACTTTGGAATTTATGTTGAAACTCCAACAGTTACACCAAAAGATGTCTTGATGTTTTAGAGTTCAACTTTATCTACTTAAGGGGTCTTCACAATATCTCTCACTTAAATAACTGACATCCTCGTCAGTTTTCTTAACCCAGAATCATCCACCAGGTAGATATTTCTATCATCAAAATAGTGTAATACTCGGATATCATTTGTAACAACCAGAACTCTCATCCATCAAGATATTGTCTACTCTGGCCAAATAGCCTCGTGGTTGTGTCCCATTGATGCAACTTCCTAGAAGGTCGCCAATCCTAGGAGTGTTCTCCCACAAGCACGCTTAACTTTGCAGTTTCTATTGAAACTGTGATCGTTACACCAGAAGACACATAGATGTTTAAGAGTTCAACTTTATTCTACTTAAGGGATTTCATAGTTCTAACACCAATTGTTAGGATACAAAAGAGGTAGAAGTTTGAAGAGAACAGTAATCACTATAAAATTAAAAAAATGCATAAATTTATGTGATGAAGTCAGATCCACCAAGGTCAAAGGATGAAAAAATATCAAATTTTCCACTAAGCATTAGAAGAGACTCGTCAGGAATTTATCTTCTTGCATAGAGATGTTTTAAAGTTACTAATTTGTGAAAATGCATCCACTTATTGTACTCGAAAATGAGGACTACATAAATCTTTTGTTATTGATTCTAAACAAAAAAGAGAACAAATCCTATTCTTATAGAAAATAAACACTAAAATGCAAAATGAGGAAGTCAACGAAGAAAATTGCAGTAATATCCTACCTCTTTATGCATAAGGCATGCTCCAAACTCTTATTGCTATACCTAGTTGTAAGAGAGCCACCTTAACCATCTCCCGTGTCTCTCTATTAATAAAAAGAATATGATTTTCCTAACTCCCTCTTCTCTTTGTTTTCTTCGATTATATGGGATCCAAGCACCCCCCTCAATAATTCAATTATGGTTGTAATAAGGCAGCCAAGATTTGACTATAAGATTTCTCCAAAAATTATATCATGATCATAAAATCAACAACAGATGTCATAGCCCACAAAAAGGTTTCAATGTCTATTTTTTAATCCCAATCAAATGTTTGTAATAAATCAGAGATCTCAATCATATCACATAAAGATAAGGGTCACATTGATCGGTTAGCGATTAATCTCTATTGAGAATACTTTGAACCAATGTTTAGTAGAAATAAATATATATAAAAAAGAAAAGTTTAGTTGTAGATCTTTGCTGATCTATCCATGCAAATAACATGAATCACCTGGTTGTGAACCACGTAAAAGACGGTGGATAAACTAGAGCCAGTACAGTACTTGCCAGTACTACGTGGGGGATAATGGAATTCGCACTCTTTAGAATGCTCAAAACATCATCAAACTTGCTTCGCTCGACATCCTAAAACAAACAAGCAAACAATAACATAACTTCAAAAACCTGCTCACTAACCCATCTCACAAATTTCGGAAGGATTGGAACTTTAACATAATTTAAAAGCAAGGTCATGATAAGAATAGTGGCTTATTGGAATTGAATTACATTTCTGGAGCAAAATTAAAATGCAGCGATGAAAACGTAGGAATCAATAAAAAAAAACTCAACCGGTAAACAGTATTCAGATACAAACTGTAGCAAGCAATAATGCAAGCATCAATCTGAAAAAAAAAAGGGTAGATAAATTCGGGATTGACGAATTATCATTTCTAGACTAAAATATAAAATAGTTCAACAAAAGTTTGATCAATTAAATAAAGAGGAGCACCGGTGTAGGTGTGATCGAATCTTCCCTCGTATTTTCTCGCTCGAAATGGCTCGTGAACTTCGGAGAGACGAATCTCTGCCCCAGAACTGGCAAATCTTGCTTATTAAACTTAAATCAGAACTACGTAAAGCGCGAAAAAAAAATCAAGAAAAGCAAACAAAACATAAAAAAGGAACAAAAATCTACTTACGTTTGCGTGGAGCGTATGGTGATCTGGTGAGATTCAAGGATAGTCTCTTGGCCTCAGTGCAGTGAATTTTACCGCCTGAGTAAGAGGAGGAAAGATCGATCGACCTTCGAAACAAGTGCAGAGTTGAGGTTTTGACTGTGGAAACCTGAAGAGCGATCGAGTTGGGATTCATCCTGTTGGACTAGACGGGAGGGAAATTTTGAGCGAGGTTGCCGATGCTTGCCCGCCGTCGCCTTCCGGCGGCCGCAGAAATTATAATTTAGGGTTCAAAAATTAAATACCTACAATCAAATATTTCTATTTTTATATAAACATTTTCTTTTCATATTTATATCATTCAAATCTTTCATGTATGCATAAACCAAATAATAATAATAACAACATAAATCAGAAACAATCACAATTATTCTGTCAGGACTCCTAACGTAGAGAATTATTTGGAGTCCAATAAAATCACGCAACATGGCGGTGACAGAAAAAAAAAATTTATTCAGTAACGCAACAGAATATTTCTCTCGTGTTATTCAAGTGTTATTGTGTGTTATTGAAGTGTTATTGATATGTTATTTTGTTATTATAATACCGATAATATTTTCAGAACACAATAACACCTGAATAATACGAAATAACACGGGGGGATATTCATGTGTTATCGGGTCGATTTTTATTTCTTTTATGTCACCGTCGCGTAGCGTGATTTCATTGGACTCTGAATGGTTCTCTACGTTATGAGTCCTGAAAGAATATGCGCTCTCCATATATGTGGAAGGAGATTGAGGCTGCGTTTAGCGCAGCGGTTTGGGTGCGGCACGGTGTTGCGCCGCTATATTATGTCGTTTGGCGCGGCGGTGGCTCTACGGCGGGACGCGATTTGTCCCAAAAGCGGAACGTGAATGGTAACACGCGGCCTGGCTTCCTCGTTCGACTTTTTACTGCAATACCCTACCCGATACATTTCGCTCGAAAACCTGCGATCGAAAATTTCCTCTCCTCCACTTCTCTGACGGCTTCCTCCTCCTCTCTGACTTATCTCATGCTACCCATCCTCTTCTTCGTCTTCTCACAAGTTCCCTACACTTCGTTGGGCTTCTTCCTTCGCTTCGCACTGGTAAGAACAGTTATTTTTTTAGGGTGTTTTGTTAGATGGGACAGAGACGAATCTTTGTATTTTAAACATTTTTTATATTTGCTTAGGTTGATTGTTTTGTTGTAATTTTCTCATTTTTCCTATAGGCTCCAGAATCTCGTATCCCATTTTTCCTCTGTTTCATGCCTGCGAGATTTATAGAAGCTGAAATTTGAGGAGGAAAGGGAAGAAGGTTTTTCTGGTACGCCCGTTGTTTCTCTTGCGGATCCTCTTTGCTCTTCTGTCTTGAATATTGCAGTATTTGCTGTTCGAAATACTGTAGTTTCTACTATTGGTTTACTATTGATTCTATAATTGTTTCTAATGTTGGTGTGAGATGATGTTTGTTTTTGGGAGGGCTAAGAAGTGATGTAGGTACTTCAATACATACGTAGCACACAATTCTTATGTATTTGCATATTCAACACCTAACTTTCATATTTACATATTAGCACTTCAGTGCTTTAGAAATATGCACGAAAAAATACATGATCCTTTTCTTTATAGATGAGGGTGGGGGTGCATTTAGATACATATCACTCAAGTCCTATGTGTTTTAATATTTCACTAAAGAGGGACAGAATTGTCATATGTTGTGGAAAAGAATCCAAATGTTATGTGAGGTGTTATGTTATTGTAAGGCTTTATAAGGCATCTTCCTATAACAACTTTTGAGCACTCATGTCTAAGGTTAGATGTTCATGACACAATATACCTCAACTCGTCTAAGGTTAGATGTTCATGACACCACTATACCTCAACTCATCCCATTTCGATTCCTGAATTCCTGGTCCTCCCATCATAATTTCCTGAACTTTTCTAGCCCTCATTGGACCTCTCAGCATGGCAGAAACCCTTGGATTAGCTTGTGAAATATGCATAAGAATTTGGGCATTGCTTTTTTTTAGGCTTGGTTGAATATCAATTTTAATTTTCATTTATTATCTATATTTTTTTTTCCTTGTAAAGCAAATAGATGTATATAAATATAGTTTGTACCTAGAATCGAGAATCAATGGATACAATTCAGTTCAATTCAATTGGCACATTTCTTTTCCTTTTTTGGATTTCTACATTGTTTTTTTTTTTTTTTTGTTTGGATGTAAATAATGTCGTAGACTTAAGTAAGAATTAGTCAAATGATAATGTTTAGTTGATGTTGTTGTGTTTAAACAATAAACCAGGGGGACTATAAGCTTGGCTTTTTAGGATCAATCAACCACCAAAATTCTTGCAAAATTTTGCTTCTATGATTTTTTATGTTAAGAACCATGCAGGAGAATCCATGTCTTCTTTTTCCAAGTGCGTTGCCAAGAGGGACAAACTTATCTTTAAAATGAATCACATGTCTTCTTTTTCCAAGTGCATTGCCAAGAGGGTCTGAAATTCCCTGCTGTTTCTAAAAGAAATCTCAAATGGCTTTGACAATATCATTTTTACTTTACTTGTAATTTTGTTAATTTTTTTTTCATAACATTTTTTATACTCACGGCTAAGTGAGTGATTTTGTACTATTGTTATATTTTGAAATGAATTTCTGCTTCTGAATTATCAAATTTGTCATTATCATGGTTTTGTTTTAAACAACTTCAGTAAACAAGGGCAGAATGATCATTTTTTCATAAACAGCTGCCCCACAGCTGTTCTTACACAGCTGAACCAAACAGACAACCAGCTTCCACACAGCAGCTTCCTGGAGCAGCACAGCTGCAGCTGAAAAGCTGAGAAGCTGCAGCTACGCCAAACAGACCCTGATTCTATAATCTACTTATCAATCTTGGATTTCTGGCACATTGCAAATTGCAATGCAATTTGTAAATTTATGAAAGTTTTTGTTTTTATGGGGATATAAAATTATGAAATATATTTTATAAATTGAAATTACAGTACTATTTAGATAAAGGTATACAGAAGGTCAAATATAATTCAAATTCCATGGAAAACCAACAAGTACTTTGTTTAAAGAAAGTCATATATGGCACTTGAATTTTTATGGCATCAGCTTTAGAATTGATAAATATAGTTTTTAAGATTATAATCTTTAGGAGTTGTATGGTAACATATTTAATAAATTAGGTAAATTCAAATTTACTAAATAATGTCACTATCATTTATGCGTGCTAGAAAATTCGCGGAGGTTGAGTAACGGACTATCATCTTAGCGTTGTACGAATATTCAGCACATACACAGAAATAAGTGGAGATGACTCCATAAGTTTTTACGTGGAAAACCCGTAAGGGAAAAACCACGGGGTCTGGCCCAGTTGCGGAAATCCACTATTGATTGATGATTATAGAAATCTTTTGTCCCACATACGGGAAATGTTAACTATATTTTTTAGGTTACAACGTCGACTGACAGGGTTTGGTTGGTGGTGATCGAAGGTGTTTAGTGGTTGTTGATGACAGTTAGCAGAGGTTGACAGAGGTCGGCGATGGTCGACGACGGTCGGCAGTGGTCGTTGGAGGTCTGCAGTGGCCTACGGCGGTCAACGGTAGTCGAAGGCGGTCAGTGAGGGTCGACGACGGAGGTCGGCGGTGGTCGACAACCATCTGTAGTGATATTGAGCTGCAGCTTCTCCTAAAGATCTCAGACTCTCTCTAGAATTTAGCTTCCTCTCATGAGAGGGATGGAGCTCTATTTATAGTGTTCTAGGTGCAAATAATGCAGGAATATGAATCATTTTGATCATAAGATTCAGGGAGCTTCACTCGATCACATGGCGTTTAATGGACATTTGAGTGTCTTAATGATGTCAGAATTGAGTGATCTTGGACTCGTTGGATTTGTCTTGTCGAACCGCTCGATTCTAGTATAAACTTATCATATTCAACAAACGTTTGACCATCCAAATGTGCTCATAAATCACATAAGTGTGGTTCAATGACTTGATCTAGGCTTGATTTGACTCGGATTAGTCTAGTTTTCATATGATTAGATCCGTCTCATCAAGCTAGTAAATTTGACTGTAAGTTTGTTGAAATCAGAGCTCTGGATGAATTTCTATCAAGATTTGAATGTTTCTTACTTAAAATATCATATTGAAATTTGTGTCGGATGATGAAAATTTGTTGGTGGCGTATCCATCATGATTTATTAAATCTGAGAATTAAGATAAAATTGACATGAAATTGAGAGTAAATTGATTTTAGTAAATTCAAGATTTAAAATTTGCCTATTTTTTAACACCAAGATTTATGTTAAATCCAACTTAAATTCATCATTAGACAACCTATTAATTACTGAGATTTACGCCGAGTAACTTATTTAAAAAACTTCTTGCATGGAAGAAATTGTAACGAGGGACAGAATGTATGTACAATTATTAAAAATTATGGTTTCAATTCTAATAAAAAACGCTTGTATTTGTCATTCAAATTTTGAAAATGATATTATTTTAGCCCAGTATGAAACTATAATTGATTTAGCATCCTGGCTCGTGCACCATTCATTCTCATATGATTTTCTCAAAATTATTTTTATGAATCTAACATTCTAACAACAAAAATTTATAATCCATTTCAACTCATAGTCTGATTAACTACTTATTTGATGAGCCGAGTGGCCGAACAAGACCAACGACGACTCAATCAATTGATAATGGCATGGTGCTCGCAATCACCAAAGATACAATAATGTGAATGTAATATAAAATCTTACAAATTGTGAAGCCACAAGTGTATGAAGGCAACATCCTGAAATTTTGATGGATGAATTAGCATTAATTATTCCAATAAGATTAATTGATCCAATTTATAGTTGTTAACAACTTTTAATGATCACCCAAAATTTTTATGTTTAAATATTTATTTCCTTAAGTGCAATAATTTAAGAAGATCGATCATCAAATAGAGTATCAAGAGGGCCAATCGCTTGCCTACTTGGGAGATTAACAAGAGGGCGAGAAAATAGCCTCCATTGTCTTTAAGAAACTAATGTTATGATACGTAGGGATAATTGGCTCAAGATTATTTTTTTTAGCAAAGGTTGGTTCTAAATTAATGTTGACAAAATTTGTACATGCTTTGCATATATATATAGTTTCATCCCAAAAACCCAAACCTTTTAAGTGATGTTTTTGAGCCATTTCAAGCCTTTTTAGCTTGCAAATTGACTTTTTTTGAATAGCTCGAGCGCCTTTTAAAT